GGTCTGGGCGGGAACCCTCCGGAGCGCAGGGGTGCGGGCAGGGCGCCGGGCCCCGCTTCGTCCCGGTGCCTTCCCGCGCCTCTTCTGGCTTACGTCGGTTCAGGGGGGAGGCTTGTTTACGTGACTTGACAGCCCTTCTGAGGTGAACGCGTACGCTGGGCGATTCTTTCCCAGGGGGTTCCGAGCAACATGCTCTGCTTAAACGAGGGAAAACTTCATAATCTGTGGGTGGATAACTGTGCGCTTCTTACTGTCGGGGTTTTTTCCTCCAAAAAATCCCTGCTTAATTACTCTCGTTTTTTCTTCATGAAAGACTAGTCTTTCTTAAGCTGTTCCTAGCTCTCTGTCATCGGCTTACCCCTACTTCTGGCAAGGCAATTAACGTGAGAAATGTTAAATGGCCCTGGTCCTTCAGGGTCACCGCTCGTTCCTTCCTAGTTCCAGCCTGATCTTTCCGTTTCAGTGCTTAGATCGTCATCCAGTACTTGCCGCAGCGCAGCTGTGCTTAGCTTCCGTTCTTCTGCTGGAAAAATAGAACAAAAAGGCGGAAGATGATTTTTTTCCATTATCCTTTAAAATGTATACATTGACCTGAGTTTTGCCATTACTGGTATCTTACACTTCCCCATTTCGAAGATGTAGTTTTCCTTCTTGACCTGTATTTCCCCTGTATTCTGATTTTTCTTTTTCTTATTTTCATGTCTTCTTGAAGTGGTTATTGATTCTGTTGCATCTGGAATCTTCTCTACTATTTTCCTCTTCTTGGAGTGTGATTTACAGATAGTAATAAGAACTTTGATGTAAGAAATTTCAGGGTGTGTTTTTTGCCTCGTAATTCCCAATAATTATTCATATATATATATATTGCTCCCCAATCCAAAGGACTTCATTAGCTAATTTCCAGTTTGTCGAAATTTGCTCATTTGTAGTCCAAAACCCTAGCTACAAGCCTATTTCTGTTTACCTATTTTCTTAATTTAAATTGAATAAATCAATTTATGATGCTTCAGTACAAAGTTACTTTCTACTGCTGGTTCTTCTGATTCCACCATCGTGGAACTACAGAGCTCCCCAATCCAAAGGACTTCATTAGCTAATTTCCAGTTTGTCGAAATTTGCTCATTTGTAGTCCAAAACCCTAGCTACAAGCCTATTTCTGTTTACCTATTTTCTTAATTTAAATTGAATAAATCAATTTATGATGCTTCAGTACAAAGTTACTTTCTACTGCTGGTTCTTCTGATTCCACCATCGTGGAACTACTAATGGATATTTATTTTTGTATTTTCAGGTTTTAAAAGCATTTGATTACTCCTCTGCATGGAAGGGACAGCAACAAATGTACAAGCTGGACATAGGCTGGCCTAAAATTTCAGAATACTTCACTGGTCAAACATTTTGTGTTGCTGTTGACTCTCTTCATGGTTTGGTCTATGTGGGACAAGTGAGTGAGAATACTACATTTCTCTCCATGTTAACCTAGTGTATTTTTGCCTTTAAAGAGTCTAGTTTACATTAAGAGAGAGATATATGTGTATGTATGTGTGTATATATATATGAATAATTATTGTATCAAAATTAGTGAAAATATAAGTATAGATATCTCTGCTATATCCATTTTTTAAAGCAGTTCTGGGACCGTACTTGCTTGTGCTTTTAAAAGCGTTACATTTCTGTGACATGAATGCATGATCCAACTTAACTGAGTTACAGTAGCTGCTTCTCTAACGGTGAGGTAAGCTGTGTTTCTGGGGCAACTGACTAGTCCTTTTCCGCTCTTTCAGCCTTTGTCCCGTGAAATCAAAAACACGCAGCTCTTTCAGCCAGTTACAGTAATTGGAGTTCAATTATTTGCTTTACACAGTTCCATGCATTGGCATCTCTAGGTCACAGATAAGACATTCTCTCCATGTGGAAAGAGGTGGGATTTAATTATAAAGCACTGTATGAGTATTGGAGTGCCATGCAGCTAATAAGTACAGTTACAGTTTTTCATGCCTGTGTTATGCTTGGCATATTTTTCAGCAAGAACTTAAAAACATAATTGAAAATGAAGACCAAGGTAGCTGCAGGAGCTTGGCTGCTCTGAAAATTGGACTCTACGTGATTTAAGTTGAAAGTCTAGAATGAGTAGAAGGTTTTGCACCCTAAACTTAGACTCATCTCTTTCTCTTCTAGCTGGAAAAAATGAGATCTAGCAGACAGTCTCAGGAGACTTTCATGATTCATGAAATGTTGCAAAAATCTTACAAAGAGGAATTTTCAAAAATATGATTACTTGCTTAATATGTTTTCTTAATAGACCTCTTTTTGCCTTTTCAGAGGGGAGATAATGTACCAAAGGTACTTGTATTCTCAGAGGAAGGCTATTTTCTTTACTCCTGGAATAATACAGTTGAAATGCCTCATGGTATCTTTGTATTGAACACTGCAACAGATAGTTCAGTATGGATCACAGATGTAGGAACAGGTATGCATGGTGGTGATATGAGAAGTATTAGGTGGGGAAGAAAATGCTAGTATTGCAGATATTACTTTAAACAACTCCATTTATTTAAGTCTCTCAAACAATTCTGAGACAGATTTGTGCTTTTCTTGCCATGAACAAACTTCTCAGGTGCTGCACAAAATACTCTGAAGGTTCATGAGTTGTGCTGTGTGTCTGCTTATAGCTTCTGAACTTAGTAAGCAAGTTTTTTTGTTTTGGTTTGATTTGGGGGGTTTTTGTTTGTTTGTTTGTTTTCCCAGGAGAAGTATCAGGGGAAAAAAAAATCTGGCTAGACTTATCTTCTGTCCTAGGTTTGGTGGCCCTTATACAATGGATGAATATTGTTGTAGCCTATGGATTTACTAACCCGCAGTCATATTCTCACTATAGAATTTTGTCTGTTTGATCTATTAATATCACTTGTGAGTATCAGGAGATTTTCTTTTTTAATCTTTGTAATCAGTTGTAATACTTACATTTTGTTTTAAGATGTTTTTCCACTTTTTTTTCTTAATTCAGGGAAATATGGGCACACTGTGAAACAGTATAGCCCTTCGGGTAAACTTATGCAGATCTTGGGCACGCCAGGTAATGCTGGTTCAAGTTTGATTCCCCTACAATTTGATCAACCAGCAGAGATCTTTGTAGAGGAAAGTGGAGATATCTATGTTGTGGATGGAGACGGAGGAATGAATAACAGATTGCTCAAACTATCCAACGGTATGGAAAAATGAACTTCCGCAGTAGTTGACTATTAAAGATTGAATTTTAAATAACACAGCTTGAGAATACTTTTAAGCGAGGACTAGGTAGAGCTGTCATTTAACATTAATTTGAAGACTTTGTTGGATCAGGTCATGTTTTACTGCTTGTCACTTCAGGAGAAATCTCCTAATCGTTTGTGACAAGAGGCTGAGAGAATGAGTTTGTTCAGTCTTCAAGACAGAAGGCTAAGGAGCATTCTTATCGCTGTCTTCAAGTCAGTAATGGGAAGGTATGGAGAAGACAGAGCCACACATTTCTTGGAGATGCACAGTGAAGAACGAGGAACACTGAGCAAAAGATGCAAGAGGGGGGAATTTCAGCTCAATTTTTGGAGGGAAAGATTCACAGTGAGGGTGAACAGAGTGAATAGTTTGCCCAGAGGGGGTGTGCAGTCTCCACTCTTGGAGATGCTCAAAACTTGATGAGTTATGAACAACCTGATCTAACTTCAGAGTTGGATTTGTTATCAAGGCTAGTCCTGCTTTGAGAAGCAGGTTGGACCCAATGGTGTCTGGAGATCTTTTATACTTAAATTATTCCGTGATTCTAATTAGCTTGCTTATATTCCCCAGTTAGATGATCAGTGTTAGTCAGGGCTGTGAGCGAGGAGTCTGCGCATGTCTGCAGTTGGGGAAAAGTGGAGGAGCTACTGTTTCTTCTTTGCGCTATCATAAACCAGTCCGTTTGCTAATATCTAGTTTGCAAAATGGTAAATTGTTAAAACTCAAAACTGCAGGAAACAAATGTAAAAAATCAATTTAGTAAACAAATATCATAATCAGCCAACTGTTTTTTGTTTTTGGTTTGGTTTGGGTTTTTTTGTTTAACAGAGCCTTGGACTATGGCTTTTGTGTGTACTAGTGGCTACATTTCGGTAACCATAATCCTGAAACCACTAATACTAATCCAGTAGTTCCTGTAGTAGTTCAGTATTTCTTGGGTTTATGTATCAAGAGTGCTGTGTTTAAAAAGTCTAGGTTTAGAAATTCCACTTTTAAAAATTAATCAGAGTAAGTTTGCGAGGGAATGACTTAAAGCTATTTTCTTGTTTTCTTACTGTGATTTTTTTTACTTTTCTTTTTCATGGTGCTCACTGTTTAGATTACAAAGAGATATGGCTGACTGGAACAAATGGGACCGGCATTGGTCAGTTCAAGATTCCTCACAGTGTAACAGTGGATCCTTTTGGACGGGTAAAGAATAAAGGGAGAATTTTTTTTCATCTTCCGACACACTTGTTTACGTGTATTTGAACAAAACAAATTGTATTTCTTTTTTGATGGAACTGTTCTGATCTGGGTCATGTTATGTGGGTTACAGCTTTCAGCGTGATAGTGGTCATAAGCTGAAGTTTCACACTGCAGATCCTACTAAAGTAGCTGGCTGCAAGGTTAACACAAGGGTTCTGACCGGTTACATTGTCAACGTCCATGCAACAACAGACTGTTCCTCCTGCAGTTTCTAACAAGTTGCCATTGTGAGAGTACAGGAGAATTATGTTCTGTAATAAATATCTACCCAAGCACTTAAGTTTCTTCAGGGGACTTTAATTTCATGCTTGGAAATTCCAAAGCTTAAGATGATAGTAAGGCTTTGGCTAGGTTGTGAACATCGGTCCTTTTCTACATGCAGCACAAGGCATTCAAGAGTCTACTTCTGCCAGGTGTTAATCGTAGTCTGGCTTTTGCCCTGCTGCTCTTATAGGGGAATTGTATGGTCGGTCCTTAATCTGTTTCAGGGAAAATAAGATTACTTGACTAAAACATCTTAAACCACTGGTTTGAGCTAATTCTGCTGATGCTGTCTGAACCAGAATAAGAAGCGTCTATAAAAATCACTTCTCTGCCAAAACTGGCAGGGTGGGAGGGAGAAGAGGAGGGACATGGGCGCTTTGTGTTTAATGCTAACCATGAGTATATACATTCAAAGACAGCAATTGCGATGGGCTACGATTTTATTGCCAACATGGTGTTGATCGTCAGCCTAGGTTAGAAATAATTGTCAATTCCTAAGAAATCTAAGAGACTGCTGTAGTAGAGTTTAGGATCTCAGGTCAGCTTGTTTATTGATCCCTTTCAGGTGTTATCCCAGAAAAGTCATGAAGTTTACTTATCAGACTGACGAGTTGTCAACAGCTAAAATTTCAATGATTGTAATATGAGAGAGGCATTCACTGGAACTATCTAATGGTATTGCTAGCTTACAGTGTTTGTGAACCCAGTTAGCCCAGGGTGGAACACAGATAAGCTCCACAAAACTGATTAGACAAAACATGCTGAAAATGGTCTTAGTGTTTAAGTTGCTCAATATTTATGGTAGTATTAGGCATATCAGAGTGTTTGCAGATGCAGTCATCATAGGCCTGGATCATGAAATGAGACTACCGTTTAAAACAAAATTGTTAGCGGGTGTCAGACCAGTATCTTTAGAATTAAATAGGTGGGAATATGTCCTCACTGCAGGGGAGAAAAATCCTACTAAAAATACCCATATCATAGCTACAAAAATGAAGAGAAGGCATTGATTTCTATGTTAAAGTAATATGAAATAATTTGTGTATCTTAACTATGTGGCAGTTTTGTTTTATATCTGGAAGTCATATCTACTTACTTAATTTTGAATGTGGAAGTACATTCTTTCAAGGTGTACTACTCTTTTACTACAGGATACTTTCCTCGTGTAAGAAAATAATGCGTTGGATTTATTCTATTTGTGAACAGCCATGATTTTTGTTCTTAACAGGTATGGGTTGCAGACAGAGACAACAAAAGAATCCAGGTTTTTGATAAAGTCACAGGAGAATGGCTCGGGTCTTGGAACAGCTGTTTTTCAGAAGATGGACCCTATTCTGTCAGGTATTGTTGAACAGTTCTTCTAGAAGCATGCAATTACATAAATAAGGTGTACTCTTACTGGTGAACTAAAATGTTGATATTTAATGCCAGATGACAAGAAGTTAACCAGTTTAACTAATAGGGTGCTGGGCCCTAATCATATGCACAGTTGTATCTTGACAGGGAAATCCTGGCTTTATAACAAGCCCCACGGATTTGAGTGCAGGATTGGGAACTGTTTTTGGGAACAATTTTAAAGTTGTTGTGTGTTGTTGACCTTACTGTTGCAGCTTTTACAGGAGGAGAGATTGTCTTGAATGAGTTTTCTGTAGCATAATCTGTCTTAAGGAGCAGCAACATGTAGAGCAAGGCTTTCAAGTTAATTCTCAATGTTTCACTGCATTTAGTCTGTTGTAGCCTTCAAACCCTTGACTATTAAGGAGGTTTGGTTTGTTTTAAAGTCCATGGTTGTGTTAAAATGAAATATCATATGGAGTTCATGATTCAAAAATATATTTCTGTCTTTCACAGATTTTCTGCCAATTACAAATACCTGATTGTAGCTCAGCTGAACATCAACCGGTTAGCAATCTTGGCGGCACCACCGGTTGGCTCTATTGGGGATTGTGTTACGGTCAACGCAGTCCAGCTGGCAGATGAAACCAAACCACACCTTGTGGATGTAGACATGAAGAGTGGAGCAGTGTATGTTGCAGAGATTGGAGCCCAGCAAGTACAAAAATATGTACCCTTAAGCTGATGGTTTCCCACAACTGCCCTGGCACAAGCTGTGTGACGTATAAGACCTATGACTATATTTCCTTGAGTTTTCTGTAGCTTGTGTTTCCTTAAACAAGCACAGAACATTGTGCTCCCTGAACTGTAGAGCTAAGAATCTGTCCTAGCTGTTCTGCAGTCCTGGAGAAGTACTTGGTCTTGAGCTGTTACTCATTTTACTAATGCTATAGTGGCTTTTGCTTTTGTTGCTGGGAATTGTAAAATGACTTTGATAAGCATCTTAATTTTATTATATAGAACTTTACAAACACAGCCGCTGTTCTTAAATGTACAGGGTCATCTTGGGGCTCCTCTACTTAGCCTCTGTGTGTTGTTAAATGAAGGTCAGAACTGTCTGAAAGAAGTGTATAAATGATTTCCTGGGAAGCGAGCACCTCATTTTAATGTTTCTTCACATGTTTTTTGGAATCATTGTGCTGATACTGCTCAACACTGAATACAGAGATGCATTATGATCTTGAATAAGATCCTGCTGGATACTGGTGTCAGTGCTGATACTGGCATCTGCCTTAGGTGGTTAATGACATAAGCATTGAAATCTAAGTTTTCAGCTCTAGCCTGTAATAAGCTTAAGCTAAATTGATATCAGGCACTTCAAACTAATTGAAAAGTATGTGCACAGCAGCCAAGTACTGATTCTTAACTAAATCAATTCTTAACCTGACTTGATTTATATCCGCCTGAGTTTTCTTTCCGTAAGATTTCATAGTGGAACATATTGAAGTTCAACTCATTTAAGTTCCTCAAGATAAACAAATTGCAATTTGCTAGGAAAGTCTTAATCAGCATTAGGGACTGGGAGACACATGATTTTCTCCCAATTTCATTGAAGCTCTGTCAGTTAACAGCAGTGCGTCTGTTTTGATTTGGGGATTTTTAAGTGTTTTATATCCAGCACTTAGATTTCATCAACTCCATTAATGTCTAGAGTTAAGTTTCTCACACTGTATCCTAGCAGATGTCTCCAAACTCTGTCCTAAAAAATGCTGTCTCTTTCCATTCCCAGTCCAGAGTGGTTCCGTTTTCTTTACAAGTTGCTACAAGATTTTAAGTTAGTTCACTTTATAGCACAGAGGCAAATGGGTATAGGAAAATGGGATGGGGAAAATGGCATGGCAGAAATGAGACAGTGAATAACTGATTACCTCTGTGAAGCTGTGGACCTGCATTCCATATTTATCTACTAGCTCTTCAAAATATTTGGGAGGATTTTTGCTGTTTCCACACACTTACTCTACTGTGTGGACTATTTTAATGCTAATTACCAGCTAAGAGAGGCAATTTTTTTGTCAACTTCCTTAGAAAGGGAATATGGGAAATGGAATTATTCTGATGGGAAATACCTACTTCAGTGAATGTTATCAAAAGCAAATGCATCTTAATTTGGCAGTTTTCAACCTATGATCACAAATTTCTGGGTCAGCAGATGGGAAAACTGTCCAGAAAAGTCAGATTCATATGTTCTGTAGAAAGTAACTCCGCTGTGGAGCCTGATGGCCTGATTTCAGTACTATTTGAGATTAATGCACTAAACATGAATGCTTTGTTGTTGTTGGCTACATCCACAATAACAAAAGCAGATCTAACCTGGCTGCCCTCATGCAAGCCTTAGAACCAAGAACTTCAGGGTTATACACTAGCAAATATGGTCCATCGTTCACATGGTCTTGAATGGTAGCTAGTAAGCAATATTTATTAGCTGAAAAAGTAGCAGTACTTCCTCTAGACCTAGATGGATAGGTCCGCATTGCTTTGCAGTGTGTTGTGTGGATTTTCTAACTAGGTCTCCACTAGCTCAGGGATCTCGGCTCTGTGTGCAATTTAGCTATTTCTCACCTACACAAGGTGGATTTCTTTTTAAAAATATTACTGTAATATCATTAACTATATTTGAGTGTATCTTGGTGGTGTAAGGGGTCCAGGCATGTCCATCCTTCCTCACCACCCACATCCTCTCCCTATTTATTTTTCCTTTGTCACATCCATTTGAAACTGGACTCGAAGCTCTTTGGGAACATACTTCTGTGTTCAGTAAAGGACTAGTGCACTTTTGGATATTGACCAGTAAGTTATTTCTTACAAGGTTCTGTTTGCTGCGTGAATCTGCTCTCAACTCTTTTTACGTGGGCTTTTGCAGTCCCTAGAAATGGGGAGCATTCATCCAGTTTTGTCTGGCTTTACTGAAGTAGGCCACGATGCCAAAATGCGCCTTGTCTCTAGGCATTTGAGTATCTGTGATAAGAAGGGATGCTCACGATTAACTAGTATGAGATGCTTAGACTCCTTTTCACCTCTGCGTTTATGACCAGACTGAGAAAATGATTCATTTGTGCACTAACTTGCTAATTCTCTGAAGGTTTTCTTATGTATCATCTTGAAACTGATTTCTGAAAAATTGCGTAGTAGGATAATTTGATAAAATAAATTGAGAATTTCCCATTATGAAAGGCTTGGCTTTATTTCTGTACTAATATTAATACATTCCATTGCAATGGATTACTTTAATAAATATGGGGTCCTCAGCACTTTAATAAGGTTTTTGATAATTTCTGATACCAACATTCAAATGTAATCTAAAATTCCATGTTATCTTTATACATTACTATTTCTGTGGCCCATCTCTTATGCATTCTAATTTATGTATCAAAAAAGGCACATAAATCTCTCCCAGATGTTTTCCTCTGAGTAATTAATAAAATGGGATGATGAGTTACATATGTGCCAAGTATAAAAAAATATTTAAACTGTATACCCTTTTGACGCTAATAGGGAAATTAAAAACAAACTGACAAAACACTTCTTAATATAGAATCGGGTTTTATTTCGAGAAAAGATTTACTGAGCAATCTGTTTAGTTTTTAGAAGATCAAGAAGGGACTTCTCTATGGGTTAGAAATACTTGCACAAGAAATAAAAAAAAATACTACAGCGTTAACTAGACAAGAAAGAAAACATAAGGTGATTGTTACAACCCCGAAAAATCTAATTTTAGTTAATAGGTGTCAACCTTTAAGTGTGAGAAGTAGTCACTGGAGTATCCAAGTAAAGGAAATAGGAATATTCCATGTTTTGATGTCTCCAACTTTGCAGACTTTTTTTTTTTTTTTTTTAATTGATCCTTTTCTTTGGGTAAGTACCTAGATTGTTAACTGGATGACATTCCTAGGAGGTAGGACCAGGTCTATTAATACAGTTCATCTTGATTTTTCTGTGATGCTAACCAGCGTTTTTTTTTGTGTTATCATAGTCAGCAATTGATTAACAATATCTGTCTGGCCAAAACAAAAGAAACCTCTGTCAGGTTTGTGCCATGCAAGATCAGTTTAGTGAGGCTGAGCTGTCTCAATAAAAGCTGAGGGGGAGGGTGCACCGGCATGTCTGTGGGTCTGCTTATTACTGTTAGTAAGTTCACCACCTTAAAGTGGTTATTAACCTTTTTGAAGCATTAAGCAGTTAGTTCTCTTAGTTGACGCTTACTTTCTTAACAACTTGTACCCTGAGAAGCCTTCACAAGTGATCTATCGCCAAGAAGTGTTTGCAATCACTGAAGTTGCTTGTATAAAACATAAGAGGGCACCAAACCCCTGCTGATGCCTGGCATACTATGTGTAGCTATACACTAGCAAATGTAAACAGCTGGTAATTTCTGAATATTTGGAGTAAGTCAACAAAGATAATGAATTGCTCCAGACTTCCTTTCTCTTTTCAAAATAGCTTGCTTTAAACATAAGCAGATAATTGTATTACAGTCATTTTGGCTTATTACTACTGGATTTATGTCCATCTTTTATTTATTTCCATTGTTTTTCCTAGAAAAAAAATTAGTAATTCAGTGTCCAGAGGCAACTGGGTATAGTGAATTGATTCTTCTATTCCTTATGTCACTGATTTCAATGGAATTACTCCTGATATGTTGCTTTGGAAACATAATAATTTATAATAGTATAACTGTAGCAGCATAATTATACCAAAACAGTAATGCCAGTATATTTCCCTAAAGGTGCCCCTGATTGCGATTAGATCTAAGCTTACTGGATCTGATTCACCAATTTTTTTCTACCTCTCCTTTCTCAGCCTTTGTCTAAAAACCTTGCTCTGATTTTGTATTACTATTTTATTCTACTTTTGGGGGGATTGCATCTGCAAAAATCTTATTTGCCAGCAGTTGCCATCAAAAAGTTTGAACGTGGGCTTTTCTTCAGGTAAATGATTCAAAATATTTGAGTCTTTCAGTGTTCATGAAGCATCAAAGTCATATTGCTTGTATGAAATTTGAAAGCAGGAGCATATTGATTTATGCACACAGGATGATTTGTTACTGCATTAAAGGCAAAGTAACACTGATACAAATGAGAGATGAATATCATAAGATCACATGTTTTGAGGCTGAGGAAACCAAATATAATTGTGTAACTGGATCTGCAAAACAGAAGTAAAAAACTTTGCCCAGTTACATCAGGAATGAACCTATTAATTCTGTCTGAGCTGTGATGGGATCTCTTACAAACAAATTAAGGCTTAAGAAATCTAACTCTTTAATAACTAAGGTCTGTATATTTTAATCCTTCCTAGTAGTCAATAAACAACATTATAAAGGGAAGGCTTTACATTTAGTCTGGATTCGTTTGTCTTCAACCTGATGTTTTCTGGTTTTAGCTAGCTTAGAGAGCTGTCTAATATGGGAAATTTTTTTCTTATCCGCCATGGAGTCATTTACAGGTGATAACTGAGTCATCTCTTGCTCCACTCCTTGTCTAAACTGTATAGATCGGAAAACTTGCCTTGCAGTGGAAAACTGGTAAGGCTTTAATTTCAAAATGTTTTCATGGCATTTATTATTAAAAACAAACAAATCCAAAAGAATGTTCACTGCGTGACAGGAAGTCTGGATATTAGAACTGCCAGCACTAAACCGATCTGTGTGCTGTGCAGGAGTAATATTATCTCCCTGTGATTTGATGT